TTTTTTAGAAACACATTTTTTTTCAATGTATTGGCAACATGTTAAATTAGTATAAAGAAAGGATGCACAAATTTCCATAATTTTAAACCATGTAATATTCCCTTATCTGTTTATTAATCAGCTTCTTGTTCTATTTCCAGATTTTGCAAGAGCCTAATATCCTGTTCCGAAATTTTCATTTTTCTTAAGTAAAAACCTAGCTTGTGCTACATAACCCTCAAGACCAGTCATAGCCATGTACCAACTATAATCTAATGTATACCAATTGAATCAGACTGATAAAGGAGGCCAGAACTTAGGGTCAACCAGGAGATATCTCAGATGGAATTCCGTAGACAAAGTGAGATTTCCCAAGTAGAACCTTGGACTTTGCAAGAAAGCACTGGGAATTCTCCTGGAGAACAAGAATAAGCTGGCTAGACCTACTGCAACACTATTTTTTTTCCTGAGGAATACTTATGCAAATACAAACTGACGCTAAAGAAAAATAAAACAAAGCCACAAGAACCAAAATATGACCTTGAGTCTATCCCATCTGAATTTAAAAACATCTCTAAATCAGATTCGAGGACTCGAACACCAGAAGATGAGATGTGGGACAATATCAAGAATATCACTCATAAAGAATGCAAACGGTCATTACAAAAAAGAGAAGGAAGAAAAGACTAAGACAGATATCAGAAGAGACTGAATAGTGTACTAGAATGCTGCTGAGAAGTCAAAGCATAAGAAGGAAATCAGGAAGTTAAAGAGCTCAACAGAAGACTTCAGAGGGCAGCTTGGGTAGACAAAGCAAAATATTGAAATGTGTAAAAATATGGAGTTGCAAAATGAAAAATTATAAACTCACTCAGCATTTCTTAAGTAGAAAGAACTGAAGAACAAATTCAAGCCTTGAGTTACAGTACTGAAAGATGCTATAGACAGAATATTGAATGATCCAGGAAACATCAAAACAAGAGAGAAGGAATACACAGAATCACTGTAACAAAAAGAATTGACTGACTTCCTTTTTCACCAAGGACCCGCCAACATGGGCTGCGTTCGCACCAAAACCGTGAAGGCGGCGGCCCAGGTCGTCACTGAGAAATACTACACGCGCCTGGGTAATGACTTCCACACGAGCAAGCACATGTGCAAGGAGATCGCCATTATTCCCAGAAAGAAACTCCAGAACAAGATAGCAGGCTATGTCACACATCTGATGAAGCAGATTCAGAGAGGGCCTGTGAGAGGCATCTCTGTTAAGCGGCAGGAGGAGGAGAGAGATAATCATGTACCAGAGGTTTCAGCCTTGGATCAGGAGATCATTGAAGTAGATCCTGATACTAACAAAATGGTGAAACTCTTGGACTTTGGCAGTCTGTCCAACATACAGGTCACTGAGCCCACCATTGGGATGATTTGAAAACTCCACGTGGAGCCGTTTTGAGTCTGTCTGCTGTGCTGTAATATTTTCAATAAACTTGGGCACACCAGCTTTGCCTTTGTAAAAAAAAAATTTGACTGACAAAGAAAAATATCAGGAAATAGCATATGATTAAAAACTAACTGTATTGAAGGAGGACGTTCAAGCTGTTCTGAAGCATTTGACAAAAAACAAGCCCCCTCAGATTGATGGAATACCAACAGACATACTTTAACAAATAGATACAGCCCTGAATATGCTTAACAGGTTGTGCCAGGAAATCTGGAGGACAGCTACCTGACTGGAAGAGACTTTTATTTATTCCTATTCCCAAAAAAGGTAAACAGAGTGTAGAAATCATTAGACAATTTCACTAATGTCACAAGCAGCCAAAATCTTATTGAAGATTATCCAAAACCTATTAACACTACATCAGTAAAGGACTGCCAGAAATAAAAGCTGGGTTTTGGAGAGGCTGTTGCACTAGGAATATCACTGTCAATGTCAGATGGATCTTGGTTGAAAGCTGAGAGTACCAGAAAGAAGTCCATTTGTGCTTTATTGACTATGCGAAAGTATTTTATTGTGTGAATCACAAAAAAATTATGGCTAACATTGAGAAGAATGGAATAATAGTGTACTTGATAGTGCTTATGTGAAAGCATTATGGAAAGCAAACTGACTCAGTCTCATAATGACAAATACTGCATAAGACCATTATTATAAAAAGAGAAGAATAATTAGTAACAATCTATTATAGAACAAAAAGGCATAAACAGTACAAAGCAAAATAAAGAAATAGGACCTCATAAAATTTAAAAAATCTTTTCATCAAAATACTTATCATATATCCAATAAGAAGTGATTAAGATTTCATAGGGTCACTATGAGTCACCTGTGACTCGACGGCACTTAATACCATCACCACCATCACCAGTATAGAAAGAGAGTGGTTGGCCTAGATGACGGAAAGCTATGCTCCCAAGCCAAAGGTGGGTGACTCTACTCCACGGCCCTCAGGACTGCCTTTGTTTTTGGTGAAACATTCTTCTAGGTCGTGTAACCCTGGTATGTCCACTTGCTATACAAAGGTTAACTCTTGGTTGCTGTGAGGCCGAACACTGTGACCCTGATGAGTCAAATGCGAGAATAGTTACCCATGGTGGACCGTGTTTGGTGAAGTTCCCGGATTAAAACAAGCTTGGAAGAAGGAATGGCATCCACTTCCACAATAGGCTGCCTCTGAAAACCCTATGAACCTGGAGCAAGGACGAAAGTTATACAGGATGTCCAGGACTTTCGTTCATAGGGTTGCTATGAGTCGTCTGCGACTAGACAGCATTTAACAACAACAACAACAATGTATCCAATAAGACTGTTGTGTGTGTGTGTGTGTGTGTGTGTGTGTGTAACATTCATAATTTTACAAAAACAATAATAATAAAAAAGAACCCACAACTCAACCATAAAATAGGCAAATTATTTAAACAGTTCACAAAGACAGACATTCAAATGGCAACCAAACATATCAGAGATGTAAATAAAAACACAAAGATAAACTGGCTTGCTCCCACTAGAACAGCTAATAAAAAGATAAAATAGCAACTGTTGGCATGATATCCCTTTTCCTTCTAAGAATATGTCCAAAGCATGTTAGATGAACTTTGTCATTCTTGTCTCTAAGATGGGCCCTGGCTGTACTTTGCAAAATTTCAAATTCTCATGGACTCTAGAATTTCTGGAGCCATGAGGGCTATTGTTGTTGTTGTTGTTGCTAAGTGCCATCATGCTGCTTATAACTCATAACAACCCTACGTACTACAGCTCTGAATCCTGCTCTAGTCTGAGCCAGTCACACTGACTGACACACCTAATCCCATCATAGTTGAAGGCTGTAAGAACCCCTAAAACTGTCCTAAGATAATATTTAAACACTAAACAAAAATATATTATTCATAAAGCCAAACCACTGTTTATCTGAATGCACACAACAAAAAAGCCTGCCTTGAAAATTATGCTCTTTTAAAAACTATCCATATGCAATCAGATTAACAAAAGCCACTGGAAAGATTAGACAGAAACCTTTGGGAGCAGCAAGTTCATGTTACCGGAAGAGGAGTAACTGCAGTCAAGAGGAGGATAAGCATGGCTAGTCGCACAATTTGAAAAACATCATTGATATCACTGAATTATACACATAGAGGCTGTTGCACTGGTATATTTTTCAGTCCCTACATTTAACAAACTACTAAAATTTAAGCATTAAATAAATTACAGGATATATTAAAAAAAAATCAAAATTATTTGGTCATAATTACACAGAAAGGCAAAATGTATGCACAAACTTAATTTGCAGTATGAAAGTAAGATGAAATCATTGACAATTTCACTCTTTCTCCATCTATCATGACGCTGTCAGCCCAGTGGTAAGAATTTTTGTTTTCTTGGCATTGAAATGCAACATATAAACAACTATGAAATATCATCTCACCCCAGTCAGAATAGCAAAATTTAACAGAACAGCAAGCAACAAATGCTGGCGAGGTTGTGGAGAAACTGGAACCCT